TATATATATATATATATATATATATATATATATTATATACTAAATAAACTCTGGATTACGTAGGTGGAATAATCGATAGTCATTATCCTGCTAAGGTATAGAAGTAGATTAATTATTACTAAACACTTATAGAAGTCATGATCTTCGTAACGGACAACTACTTTCCGTGCATTTATATTTAGTTATCAATGCGAGATTATAAGTTGAGTATTACATCTAACTGTAGACCTAAACTACGCTCCACTAGCTTATTACAAGCTTATATCAAAGTATAATTGACACATTTTGTAGGACCTTATTAGTGTCATCTATCTGACGTAATTTGGGAGTAATATTGACACATGTATATACCTTCACAAAGATTGATGGCCTCATCGATCGTAACCCGCTATAAGCTAATAGCCCAGTTACAAACAGCACAGCATAAACCTACTTTCGTAAACGCGATACTTTACGCCATACTGTTTTACACGTAGACTAGCTTCTGAGAATGCGGGGTGTTATACATATATATATATATATATATATATAGCTTATATAGGGTTTAACATGGTCCTTCGGTTATCGTGATGTCGTCGATTCCAATATCGCCTTCAGCGCCCAGTGATCGTCCCCGGATTACGAGCTGTGGTAGAGAATCATCGTCTTATAGAGTGTTGTCGATTACAATGAGTGCATGCACTTGGGCCGTAGTATCAATAACGAAATGATGTTGAATAAACCGAAATTGTATTTACTACGGGAATCTTAATGTCTCGGTGCAATTGATTTCGGTTTTATCTGCGTGGTGTCAACCGTCCTAAAGTTTGATATGGCAGCAGGTCGCTTCAGGCGCCGGCTGCATCTCACCTGATAGAAGCGGAATATCTTCGGTATGGTGAGCCGCGCCATTTTCCACGCCGCGGGTTTGTGGTCTTGCCAGCGTTCTCGGATGTGCCACATCTTCCTGCGTCCTTGCCGGTTCTTAGGTACGACGTGCACGGCCATGAAATCTGTGGGCGTTCAGAGTGCATCGAAAGCTGTGTAACCCGTTACTTCTATAGAACGAACATGTCTATAAAATGGACTGCTGGCGTTTTCCCTAAGTTAGTGGCAATTATAGCTTAATTAATGGCTTAATTAGAGGCAATTTAATGGCTTAATTAGTGGCAATTTAATGGCTTATTAGTGGCAATTATAGAGTGAAACCACTCATAGAACGGAGACCCGTCTGTAAAAAACACTTTGCGAGTTTACTGTGAGTGACAATGATATATAGCTTTGATTGTGTTTGGGTTTATGTACCGCCCGAGAGCCTATAGATAGAATGCCTGAATTACATAAGTCGATTACCGGTATCTAATATAATCTGTGAGCCGCGGTCCTTCGCGCGCCACTCACCCGTGTCTCTACCCTGCATCTGATACCACAACTCTAAACAATGGCCTTCTGAATCCGCGTTGAATTTGATCATGGGAGAGATGACCTCTGAGTATTCCTCTTCACCGCAGTGCATTGCAGACATATAGAGGTAGTGACCTGTAACACAAGCATCGGCTAGCGTTCACGAGTGCTGTTGGTATGGCAAGTATACGCAAGCTGTCAGTGTTGCAATAGTCGAGCCGAGCTGACGCTCCGCACTTAATAATAATCCTACTAGGTAAGAGGTGTTTAGGTAACCGTGATTAGACACTGTCCTATGGCTAACATAAGGAATAGTAAGGGAAATCGCGATTAGACGGAGTGCTGTCTTTGGTGTACTACGTACGAAGGTTTATGGTAACAGTGCTTAGGTGGACTCTTACCATTGGTCTACTAGGTAAGAAGTATGATGGAAACTGTGCTTAGCAGGAGACAAGCAGTTATGCTACTAGATAGAGACTAGGTAATGCGTGAAGATTGCTAGGGTAGCAGTACTTTGAAGTTCGGCTGCACTGCACCGGTGCATTAGATAAGTAGTATTGGGCTTAGGGAGGCGGGTTCTGGATGAATGGGTACTGGGGTAAAGCTTTGATGAGGGAGTTCCGTGTGCATACGTCCATCTGTCCGTCCGTTCGTCCGCCCCTCCTTATCACGTGCGCAGTGCGCGCGCGCGCGTAGAGAGAGAGAGTGTGAGAAGAGACGACAAGAGGCGTAAACCACGAGAGCGCGCATAATTGAAAAAGGAGGACGTGAGTAGAAGCGGTGGAGAACTGATGGGGAGAGAGATAGGAAAGATAGGTAACTGGAACATGTAGTTGGTGGATGGGTTCGCTTGGGATGTGTCATTGTTTGCCCACAGGCATTGTGTCATGCTCACAGGCACTTGGAGCGTTTCAATAAAATATAATGCTAAACAAATACGAAATCTATTTCCTACCAAAGTTTTAATGTTTCTCTACTCTCTTTCGCCTATTATTGCCGACAATTTCCTGTAAATGCCGTGCAAATGCCCTTCTGCAACACACATGCACGCATTTACAGAAAATTGTCGGCAATAATAGGCGAAAGAGAGTATAGAAACATTAAAATCTTGGTAGTAAGATTTCGTATTTATTTAGCATTATATTTTATTGAAACGCTCCGAGTGCCTGTGGCCATGCTATATAATGGTGCGCACAATCACTCATCCAAGTCATATGCCTGCACGAAATACGCGCATTCCCCAAAGATGATTTTTGCGGATGTTGAATGATTTTTGAATATGTTGTTCTGTGACACATTCTGATCATCTGGTGTATCATCTTTATATCATTTTTTTCCGGTCAAATTTCACTAGTATACCAGACTACATGTAAATATATTATATTATATTATAAATATATAGGCATTATATTCGTATGGGTATTGAGTATATATAGTTCGGAGATAAACGTCTCTGGCGTGGTTATGCATGTAAGTCTGGTGCGTGAGACGAAGAAAGCACTCGTAAATTGGTGTAGTTTTTGACCAGGCAGTGAGACTACCGTGAATAAACACGGTTTTTCGATGTACGACCGATTCTTGGAGCTACATTTTTGTATGGTTATTCGTGTAGTTCTGGTAGGGGAAATAGCGATAGCGATGCTGAAGTGGTCGTTGTCGTATCAGGTACTACATATAAGTGTACCCTAACCCTAACCCTAAACCTAAACATACCTCATGTAAAAATATAAACATAAGCCTAAAGCTCAAGGGGTCGTTGTCGTAACAGCCAGGTACTACAGATATGTACCTGAGGTACATATATGTATACACAAAGTGTACCAGACTTGTACTACAGAAGTGTACCCTAACCCTAACACTAACCCAAACCCTAACCCTAACCCTAACCCTAACTCTATTATATGACAACCCAAATCCCATATTGATTCGGTTTGCGTATGCGTAAAACTAATTCTGATCGCCACTTTGGATGTTTTCTTTATTGACGTACTATACAATATAGGCATACCGCGTGTGCTGTTCGTAGTGTGGTCTCTGCACGGGCCAGTATTCTGCACGGGTGTGCAGCCACTCTTCCGCATCCAACACTTCCTCGTGATGATATCCTTGTAGGTTGTGTTGCTCCAATTACACGTATCGCCTCTCTCAAAGTTGCAGTTGTGTATCATTCTGCCGCGCCTCCTACTCGCCCCATTACCTTTAAAAATCGACGCGCATGGATTATTTAACAATAGGTAGTTATATCGATACATGGTTTATATCCATTGTGTTTTAACAGACCCTACCACGCGAGTACGGTACACAAGTAAAAAAGCTTAATTGTAACTAAATCGATCAGTTAAATGGAATCTCATCATTCCTATTTGTGTTCGTAAACACGCATGAGGACGCTTGTGCATTGCCGAAAAGACATGGTTAAAAGCAATTCATCCAGGTTTTAGGGATTCCAAAGCCGTTCAGCGAGAGTCGACGCAATCTCACCTGTCTGTGCTCCGCTTAACTCTTGAACCTGAGATCCGGTGTCGGGCAGGTAACCGAGCTGTTTTGTTGGTGCTGGTGTTTCGTCACCACCGATCTTCCTTACGTAGTCGTAAAGACGCAGCATCTCGTGTTCCAACTCCCTGCGCGTCTGCAGCATCTACAGGAGACATTAGTTGCTACAGTCATCCGCGTATATTGGCGCGTCTGCGTAGTAACATCCATCGCTTTCTAATAGTATTCTAACGTTAATTCAGTTTAACGTTAACACTGAATAATCTACGTATAATGAGTTCGCATCATCATTGCACAAATTCGTGGTGATACTTTCGATGGACGCCGTTAGTCATGTGAGTCAGGAATTACTAGTTTGCTGCGGAAAGAGAAGCCACTAGAATGGTGAATTTTTGTTTACCTATATCCGCTGTATCTAGTTTTGTGTGTGTCAATTATATATCTAAATTATACTTTTATATTATTGTATTATGCTATTAAAGAACTTTCATTTGCATTTTACTGTCACGTGTGTCGTTTCCTTATCACTAATCACGTTTGCTTTGCATTAACTTAATGTTTCTCTGTGGTATTTTTATACTTATATATATCCTCGTCTACACATTCTTTGCGGTTTGCTCTGTCCTCATTTTATGACATTTTGTAATCACACGCCTAACAGTCCCCTCGCCGACAACCCCTCGCCCCCGTCACTATCCGGAATCTGAACGATTTTTCCCCTCAAAAATACGTGTTTATCGTGTATATTAATTATGTATAGTATGACATTAGCGTCGAATTACCTCGCTTCCAAGATCATCGAACCCAACTTTACTTCTTTTTATGTCCGTTTCCAATTTATTCAATTTCTTTGCCATCCCGTCGTCCGTAGTTTGTGCCTTTCTATTATACGCGGATACACGATCATCGTAGTTGTCATAGTTGAAGCTCTCATCTCGAACGTTATCGGAATTCTCGCCGGTGGGGCGGTATATGACATTGGCTCCATAAGTGACCCCATCGACTGAACGAGCAAGGCCTAATCCTTTCTCGGCTGTTTGCAAAACAAGAAATAGGCCACTTGTGTTAACTTCACATCTTGTTCGATCACCAAAAATAATGTACGTACAATAAAGCAATAACGCGCATATATACATAGTATCAGGGGTTAATAATGACAAATTGTCATTATTAACCCCTGATAGTATCCAAAATGTATAAAACTGCTAGTAGCCACATTCGCTGCAATATATATTACTTTTTCACTTAGGATATTAGATCGTAGACGGTTTACTATTGTACTTGGTAACAACGGGGAGAATGAAGCGGTTACTAATTTAACGCTACCGAATATCTTATAATGTCGTTCACAGTGTACAACGCCGCGCTACTGTTTCGCGCGGGTAACCGCAGGCGGTGTCTGTGCATGCTTACTGTTATAGTAAGAGTTATAATACTATTATAGTATATTACTGTTATAGTAAGAGTTATAATACTATTACAGTATATTACTGTTATAGTAAGAGTTATAATACTATTATAGTATATTACTGTTATAGTAAGAGTTATAATACTATTATAGTATATTACTGTTATAGTAAGAGTTATAATACTATTATAGTATATTACTGTTATAGTAGTTGAAATGAATCTGCGGCTGCTCCAACCAGAAGTTGCCGCTGAGCTGCGACCCGCCAGGAGTGTCACCGACCACCATTGGCACGCCGCCCGTTTGTCCGGCCTGCTTAGTCACTTGGAACAGCTTCATCATCTTGTCGGCCATGCTGGAAAACTGTCGCAGCTGTTCGTCGGTAGTTTGCTCCAGGTCCTTTCGGACATTGTCTGTCGACACCATAGAAATATAATAGAGACACTATAGTCTAACTAGTATATTATTTCTATGGTCGAAACGCATGTAAGCTGCGATGTGTAGTATTAAATAGTCGTGCTGCTTTTGTTTGTCTGGCACGTTTTGTTGTTGCGCATGCACTCCGTCCCCGTTACAGAGTCGCGTTTCCCGAGACATGCGAGAGATATGCGCTTACCGCGTGTGTGTCTGAGTATTACTGATTCTGTACTGTGTCCACATAAGCTGTATTGCTGATTCTGTAATGGTGCTCGTTTTAGGTATATTACTATGTTCGTATTGTGCCCGTATTAAGCGTATACTGCTACGATTACATTCGTATTATCAGGAGTGAATAATAGAGATCTCTATTATTCACTCCTGGTATGATGTATTCCTGCGTCCGAACTCCATATTATGTGTATTGTCTGCTGCCTGTATTGTGGTTGTTATTACGTCTGACTTGTGTCCGTATTATTTCTGTTACTTTTCGTACTCTTACAGTAACTACTCATGTAGTGTGCCCACATTGCTTTATCTGTGGCTAGATCTATTATTGTGTCATATATTTTATAAAGCAATAATTATATATATATATAACATGCCGATTAAGTAATCGTATGTATGAGAGTATATCTGGCGCTTTATTGTAACGAAGCTAGTGAAACACTAAATTTTACTTTTCTATCTTGTCATAATTTTACAGTTTATCTGGACCGGAACAACGGAAATGACGTAGATACACGTTGTCCGATACGCCCACGTACCTGCAGCTTTAGGTTGTGTCTCCACCTTTACTTGCTTGCTGGCGATTGGAGAAGGTTCTACGTTATCTTTTCCAACCACCTCGTTGAAATACTGCGCCCACTTTCTAGAGTCTTCATCAATAGGATCCACAGTAGTGGTATCACGAATAATCATCTGGTCCCCCAGCATCATGTCTTTCCAGTCTTCGTTCTTCCCAATATCGACGACACCATGGCCGTCTACATGAGCAACTAGTGTGTCTGCTTGCCCGACCTCGTTAATGTCGGTATCGCTTCTCTCTTCACCAACGATGTTTGTTTTATGGGCATTATTCCCGTTGTTGTTGTCTCCCTTATCATATTCTTGACAATCGTTTTCATCGTCATCACCACTGTCAGCATCGGCGTCGTCATTGGCGTCGTCATATCTCTCTTCAAATTCTTCGTGCTCCTCTTTGTTAACGTCATTTTCACCTATCTCGCTAGATTCCAATTCCTTCCCGATGACGTCAATAGTATCGTTGCTGTACTCGGCATACTCTTCCTCTGTGGTCGTCGTAGATTCGTCATTAAATTCTGTTGGGTTCTCTGTTACTATATCAAATGGGTTGACAGGGGAAGAACCCTCCTCGTCCTCTTGTTCGGGTATTACGTTGTCTGACATCGTTTCCGTTGCAGTCACCGTCTCGCCATTTTCTAGTTCTTGTTCTTCGTTAATTTCTTCTGGGGCCGCCTCACCATTTGCGTGATGCACACCAACGTCATCTTTAGCATCAACATCGGCATGACTAATATCATCATCATCATCTTGATTATCTTCACCATCATCCTCATGACCATCGTCGCTGTTGTCATCATCGTCATCATCATTATCCTCATCAATGTCGTCGTCGCCATCATCATCATCATCGCCATCATCATCATCATTATCACCGTCATCACCATAGTCGTCGCCGTTGTCGTCGTCGTCGTCGGCGGCATCATTATGATCATCATCATCAGGGTCATTATCGCCAACACCATCATATTTTTCAACAAGGACATCATCAATGTCATCGCTACTTGTAGGATCAGCATTACCATTATCATTGTTGTTATCGCCGCCAGTGCTGACTCTATCAATGGCATCTGCATCATGGTCGTCATTATTTACGTAGTTACTATTTTCAGCAGCTTCAATAATCGGGGTTTCGACGTTTGTTTCTGCTGTTGGCACCTCGTTTCGCGCCTCTTTCTCCACCTCATAAGACAGTTCCTTCTCCTTCACGAAGTTAGTCTTGGCTGGGACGGCGTGGATTTCCACCACGTGCTCATCACGTATTGGTACGGCGTAGAGCTGTACAACTAGTAACGCGCAAACTATCAACGCAAATTTCCACAACATTCTCAATAATAGTTGGATCTTCTAGCCAGCCTCGGGCGGAAGTGCGCGCGATGTCGTACACGGTTGCCTTGCGTTCATGTGAAGATATCCGCGCACGGCTATCACCACAGATAAATGTCGTCTGTTACTCTAGCATCGTCGCGTTTAGGCGCGCCTGCATGAGTACTGCGCCATGTGACATATACCGTCGGTCAAACCCAACCGATGTTTAGAAGAAAAAAACTCACGTCTACAGCTATCTCAGTATTTTATCTCAATCTTGGCTTTTTTATATGATTGAGTTATTGTTAGCGTCCATAAACATAGTGGATGTGGAGAAGGGGTGCATGGTTGTGCGAGAGGTCTAGTGGAGAGTCTGACGTCATGACTGTCTGCTGACGTTCATAGACTTGCATATTATATTATCTCTTGTTATTGTGATCGTGAGATTCGGCGGGGGGTCGTGAAGCAACAATGTTGTATCCAAATACCAGGCCTGTCGTACCGAGTGACAGTTGTTGCGACAGAATACTCGTAAAATCGGCGACTCGATCAACCTTCCCCCCTCCCCCAGTGTGGCATGTTTAATTCTTACGGCCTGTGTCCTGGTAGATAAGCGCACATCCTTTGGGTGGGGCGCATGTAATCAGTAGGTCTGCACTTCCCGTATAATAGAGCGATGTGAGATTGCCAAATAACGTAGTCGCGGGGGCGCAATTTATCACCGGTTAAATCGGCTGTATCTGTACAGTTTAAATTCAGCGGAACGTCGAACAATTGTTTACGAAATATACGCATTTAACTTGTTCTATCTGACGGCGTTTCTTGACGAACACGTATTTCATTAAAACGTACTTCCTTCAGGTTTCCTTCTACAAACAAAACGAAATATATCAGCCCATTTATGATGCTACCGTAACGCTTTCATGTCGCTCGCGACATTATCGCTGGTATCCAGACCACTTTGCGAAATCCCGTGATATCTAACAACGATCTATTTGCATAATAAATTTACTTCCGGCAGAAAACAACTGGTTGTATACGTGCGCCGGTGTGCGGCCAATGCTTAATTTCCGTTTATCGCTGCCGATTTGGTTGCTAGATAGTTAGTGACGATGATCATGTTACTGGCGATATTTTAATTATAAGAATTATTTATAACACTCATATTGGACAAGATGATGCGCCGTTGATTTCGTCGCTAGAAACAAAGATTGTTTGTAATGTTCGCCAGCGCTAAACAGAAGTACTGTACAATCATTTTTCAAAATGGCAATTGGTTGAGATTTAAACTGTTGTGGGAGAGATTGAGACATTGAGTGTGCGCTGTTAAATGATATAGAGCTTGAGTGTTGACATTGCTGTTTTGTATTGCTATAACAATTAATATCATTACCAACCACCTGGCAAGCCGACGTCATACGATACTTCGCGATGAGCATATATATATATATATATATATATAAGTGTGTTTAAAAAGTGAATCGAAATGCTCGCTACCCTGGGGTCGTCTGGCTAGGGATAGCCTCACGTGGATTCCATGTTGGCAGGGTTACTGTGATAGTCTTCTATCCATCCCGGTATTTCGACCCGTAGGTTGAGTCCGTATGGTTGGATGGTGTTTAGATTGTGGATCCAATAGGCTTCTCTTTTCTTTCTGTTGCGGATCGTGCGTGGATGTTCGGGTGGGTCCGAGAATATTTTTTCAAGGCCCCTGCACTGAAAATCCGCTGCGGTGTGGTTGTCGCGTGTAAAATGAGCTGTCCAGGCCTCTTCTTCATACATGTCCCTATATATCATATATATATATATATATATATATATATGCGCAGTCTGCTGGTTGCATTCTTGTAACGACAGGGATTTATGATTTGTAATATTTTTAAAGGTAACAAGTGTTTCCAAAGTATTGAACGGCATTTAATATAAGCCCTGTCAGCCCAACAACCATTACACATCGGGTAAATAGATCTGTGCGATGAACAACGTACACTATATTGCAATATACGTTCCTACATCATCTCGATCGTAACGCTTATACTAGGCGTACGTTCTGACTGACAGAATCTTCAACGTCCATGACGGCATCCAAAACGGCCAGGACAATTGGCACAAGGTAATTTTACGCGTGCTTTCCTCGCGAGATATCGCGATATCACACCGCGCATGGCGGACGCACAAACGCACATTGGCGCATTTTGCTACAGTATGGGGAAATGGGACTCCATAGAATAATTTAATTTAGGACCGATTCAGGGAGAGCTGCGAGCATCGGCAGACAGGGTTATGTCTTAAAGGGATAAAGGCTAGCTGAATATTATAGGTCAATTGAACAACGTCAGGGCATATATGCTATCCGAAACATAATATCTACATGCAAACATGGCAGTAATTGGCATTAACCTACACATAATCAACTTCGACCATATAGCGTACAATTTTAAACCAGAATTAACCATCTGTAATTATTATCGTTTATTATACTAACAGACACATACATACATAATACACACACCACATGTATGCACGCTCGCACACACAAAAGAAAAAAACTTAGTACCGCAAGTGTAAGCAATTAAGTGTCTGCAACGTGAAAAATCTGTGACACAGTGAGATGAATGTTGCCCGCTCAAAATCATTAAGCCATATTATATGGTACCGGGTGGCTATTTTTTATGCACTATATTTCCTTTCTTAACATTCGAGATCCAAACCGTGCATACATTCTACCAGGAGCGTATAATGACAAATATGTCATTATACGCTCCTGATTCTACTGTATTCTATTAATGCTTTCCCATGAATTTTATCTATAAGATTATTCTATATATTATTATTATCTGTAAAATTGGCAAGCATAAGATTCCCATTAACTTTTTCTAATGGTGCAATAATTAAACCTCTTTATCATGCACTTGTTTTATCCATCTCGCGTTTCTTTATAATTAACTTCAGATTCGCGTGATGATTTTTCTAAACTCACACATAATATTACTCCGTCAGCAGCGAATTACATCGTGTTGCTGCTTATTGAATGCAACTAGACTGACGGATATAACGTTCTCTGTCGGTGGCGCCACCTGGTTCTCGTTTCTAGACATACGTTCTTTAGTATCGTTTCCGCTGGCACTAACTTCGTTACGCCTGGTTGTCGCAAATATTGGTTACAGTTATCGTCACAGTTACAGTTACAGTTACAGTTATCGTCGTCGGTGATCGTTGTCGTTTTGATAGAGCAGATATGTGATACTGAAAGAAGATTCACAGTATTCACTTTAATTCTTACATTTCAGACGAGAGTCGATCATGCTTTTAAGTCTTAGCGCCGCATTTATAGGCGAGGCTGACTGAATATTTAAGGTAGAGTTTGGGTTCATAACTTTTCATATAAATATATATATTATATACA